TATACAATATATGATACTTGCTGATGAAAAAAATGAATTGAATTTTAATATACATCGATTTCGAATGTTTAAAGTATAGAATAATTTTCAAAGAAACAAAAAACAAAAAAATCTCAACATTCTATATTGAACATATTTCTATTTTTCTAGGGTCTTTTTCGAAATTTTGGTATCGATTTAATGGATAATTTTATGGAACAATTAGATATTTTGATTCATGAGAAAATGACAGAAAAACAAGAAGGTTGCCATCGAGTAGCAGCTGAAATTGTTGCTGGAATGATTCGAGGCTCAAAATATTGGACATTGGAAATGGTTTGTATTTAAAAAAACAAAAAAAACAAAGAATTTATTTATAAACAAAAACTTAATTCGATTTATTTATAGCTTAAGAAATTATGGGAAAAATTAATACCATTTCTTAATGAAGTCTGTATAAATCTTAGTCCTGAAACTTTATCATGTTGGGATTCATGTTTTAAATTTGGCATGGTGTGTTTAAATAATAGTTTCTTTTTCTTTTCTTTTTTATAAGTCAATCATTTTTTCTATCTTATAGGAAGATTTAGATCCTCGTCGAATGTATCGTCTTATTGAATTTATTTGTACTTTAATAAATAATCAAACAATAGTAAATACATTTCTTGAAACATCACGTTGGTTTTTAGTTTTAAAATTAACTAATTTTGAATGGCGTATACCAGCTATATGGTGTGCAATTAATGAACATGCGAAAGAAATGCTTGATCATCCATATAAAGCTGTTCGAGAACATATTGCTAAGTAAAAGAAAATAAATCTTATTTTATAATAAATGAAAATCAATTTTCTTTTTTGAATAGTGTTTTATCAGTATCACTAAGTTTCGATGTTAAATTACTCAATGGTCAATCGACACGTAACCCCGATGCAAATCGTTTTATTGATACTATTCGTGAACGATTACATCAAGCGATAGAAACTTATCAAAAAGAGCCACTAGGTAAAATTCTACTAAAAATTAATGTCAATTTTTTTGTCAAATAATCCATTTATTAATTTGAACTTGAAATGTAGATAAATAGTTCTTATAATTTTTCTTTATTTCTGTATGATAATCTAGTTTTCTTCTCAAATTAAAAGAGATCAACATCAGCTTTCCGATATGAAATTTCTTATTCATTTTCAAATTGAATGATATCTAACGAGGAAACATATATAAGTGTCGGACGTCGTTCGAGATCCCATATTTTGGCTATAAGTAGGACATAGTGAAACTAAGAAAATCCTAAATGAATTTGAGCTTATATATTATCCAGCTAGAATCATGACCCTTTTCTTTTGGGTTTCTGATCAGCTATTCATGAAAAACTCAATGATGAGATTTTCATCCATAGATGAGTCGTACGGCTACTCGAATATCATAAAAATGTCATCTCTCACGAATGCATTCTTCTCAGAATACTGAGTATATAAGACAGGTCGAATCCAGAGCTTACTGCTTTATGATGTACAAGCATTCATTAGATGATTTCAAAGATCATCTATCAATTCTTTGGTTGCCACCGACGCATATTATGCGTCAAGAGCCTTATCTTTGCATGAACTGAAGTAATCATTCATAATGTATGTTTTTTTAGAAGCGTTTGCCTACAAAACAAATGTTAGGCATCATGCGATTTCCAAATCATCATTTTGTTAAGGCACATTATACAATCGTTTCATAGACAAATTAGTAAATTTTCTGAAAAATCGTTTTTTCGTTCTCTTATGCCGGCGGCCAAAGGGTTTAAGATATATATATGTGAATTCTTTTTGAAATATTATCGATATGAAACATTATCTAATAATCATTTGAAAACTGTTTGTCTTTTATAGCGAACATTTCTGGAGAAAAGATCGAAATCAATCAAGAAGCTCGTAAAGCTCTAAATTTTATTGAAACAGGTAATACTCAAACAAAACCAAATTTGAAAAATTACATTATTTCATTCAGTGATTCAATTTCATACACGTATATTTATGTGCTGTTTACAACCAATGAAAAGTGCAATTGTTCGAATATTTCCATATGTATGTTCTACTTAAATATAAAAATATCCATTTTAGAAGTGCATATCTTTTTTCTTGCTAGCTTTGCGAATTAGAAAGTATTGTTTCAAATGAAAATTTAACAATCAGTCGAACGCTTGTGGCTATGACTTATTTACATACACATTTTCTTGAATCATTGATTGAACAATTAGAACAAGTAAATGAAGATTAATCCACAAAAAAAAGAAAAAAATAATTGTTTTATTTATTTCGAAAAAATTAAAGATTTGTACAAGTTCCAAATGGCATGCACGTCGAGCAGCTATGGAATTTGTACAATATATGATTTTTTGTAATCTATTTAATGCTCGACCATATAAAAAACAAATACGTGAACTTGTTTTTAAATGTTTATTTGATAAACAATTTGAAGTTCGTACAGTTACATCAGTTACATTATCAGGCTTATATCGATGTGGATATATTCAAATTAATGAAGAAGATTTTGTGAATACTTATGATTCTATATGAAAACTAATTCTTTACGAATTTGTTTGTTTTTTTTAGACATACTTTAGTCAAATGAGTAAAATAAATTATTTTATAAAAAAAAAGGGAAAAACAATCGTATCAACTGAAAAGATTATTAAACGACATGGAGGTTAGTTAAAATAATTGAATTGAAATTAATCATAGAATTTATATTACTAGGTGTTCTTGGTCTTTGTGCAATTGTTCTTGCAAGTCCATATGATATTTCAAACTATGTACCTGATGCATTGATGCTTCTATGTGAACATTCACATGATCCCGATCTTATTCAAGTTAGTTAACACACTTATTTCAAGATGTTTATTATGCTTTTTTTTTAAATTAGGAATCAGTTAAAAAAGGATTACTAGAATTTCATCGTACTCATTATGATTCATGGCACGAACATCGAGAAAAATTTACGGACGATCAACTTGTCATCTTGACTGATGTGCTGATATCACCTAATTACTATGCATAAATGTCAATAAGATTTCTGAAATGTAATGTGTGAACCTGAGTGAAATTTTCCTTGATCATATGTATATATTCTTTGATAACCGTGTCATTATTTTTGCATATTCACTTCTATGTTGTTATTTTATATTAATACAAGTAAATATAAATCAAGATGCACATTTCATTTGAACAAAAAAAAATACTCAGATTCACTGACAAATGATTCTGTTCATCGCGATCTGTTATAAAATATATTTCGATAAGAAATGTTTATTATGATATGTGACAGTAATATTAGATCACATATTGTCTTCAATGTGTATTCTTTTCTCGATGTTCTCTTTGTTCTAATGCTAGATCTTCTATACATATTAGGATATAAAAAAAAGTGATGGCGGTAGAACAACAAAAGAAATACAGAAACAAGTGCATCAAAGTTTTACGTATAAGTAATTCTCCGAATTTGGTACAGTATGACTTTTTGATTATTCATCTTAATCAGACAAATTCTAAGAGACCAAAACGTAGTAGTTCATGAAATCTATGAATAAACAAGAGTCTAAAAAACGTTTAATAAATGGATTCAACGAAATGCAATTAAGTGTAAATAATCAGAACGATTATTTCGAACATTTAATGGAATAAAGACTTGAGATAAACTTGTTTCTGTAGGGGTGTAAGTGCGAATGAAGAGAAAAATGAGATTCAAATTTACACCCTAGTGAGGAGGCTATGGTAAAATGTTTAGCTCTATATCATGATGTTTGAAAGAGATATTGATCAAAAAACTGTCAAAGATAGCTCACTTGGCAAACCAAATTTCTCTATCCAGGATCATTCTATATGTTTAAATTTTTATTTTGTTTGAAAGAACACGTCAGAATGCAGTGCAGTACAGAGCCTGTTTTTTCTAAAGATATCCTTACTTTTTAAGCGGCGATAAGAAATTACAAGTTGAATAACTCAAAAACACTTTCAAAAAATGTATGTTTGTTTGTATAATTGTTCATATATACAATAAAAACATAGCTCAATAGTAAAAAAGGGCTCTATTAGGTACTTTAACTTGACATGTTCTTTCAAACAAAAATAAATTAAATGTATAGAATGAGGATTCACCGAGAATTCTGAATTGCACGATCAAAAAAAGTATAAACTGAAAAAACTGAAAAATATTTTCCGTTTTTTTACCGAAAAAACCTGCTTTTTAAGAAGTAGATAGTAGAATTCATCAAAAATTTTAGCTCAAAACTAGGTGCCAAATAGAAAATCATTTCGTTTGTGAAAGATCAGACCCACGCTGTGTTCCCAGACATTTAACTCAATTTCGATGTTTCTGACGAAAATGTACGTTTTTGAAGGGAAGCGGAAGGTTTTAAACAAGATAATGAAGTATCACTTTAGCTTTTTGGCTCCCGAGAACATTTATATACGTTCTGGCTTTTTAGGGCAAAATACTTACGAGGTGTGAATAATTTTCATAATTGTTGCACAAGGGTCTCATCGACAGTGAGATTTTATTTATTTCAACATTTTTTTCAATTTGATAACGCTTTTTATATAGTCATTGGTAGTCTCTTTCAACATTACTTTATAAAGAAAAAATACATATATTTGTTTTCTAAGATTGGTGACCAAAGGGTTAAATTATGAAGGTATAAGTAAAATTGAGCAATTAGGAATGGCTGGTCGTAGGGATGCCGACGCTTCACTTTAGAAAATCTCAATAGAAAATTGAAAGGATCAGTTAGGTGGGTGTGTATATGCTTTCTAGTAATACCAACACCCACACCCACACCCAATTCAATGAAATTTAGTAACTAGCTACACTACTAATGAGTTACGAAGAAAGAATAGTTAATCTTCACCGAAGATGGCAAAGTTATACGACGGTCAGAAAAGTAACACACACAAATGTCTTCTTTTTCAAGATGGGTCAGTCACAGAAACAATGCCTCAGCAAGTTAATGTTAAAAATTCTTCAGCCTGTTGAATGTTTATTTAAACATAATAACTTTCTGATTTAAATAACAAAAAAAATAGAAATATTAAAAAGATTTAAAACATATTTGGTATATCTTGGATATCTTTATGAACTCTCCATATCTCTGCTTGAATTGTCTTTGATGGTCTGAAAAGAGAAGCGTTCTTATCAACTGCAGTTCAAAAAGACAGAGGACTTCAATTCCTTACCGTGTACTACTGCCAAACAGCTGTCTCGCATTGCTTGCTGCAGCATCTGCCAAATGTAAAACACTCGGAATTGATTCACTCAATCGACTATCAATACGCTGATCAGTATGACAAAGAGAATAAGTGAGTTCCTCCAATTCACTCAATGAATATTTATTATCATTGACCAGTACAACATAATTTCCAATTTTGTTCGTTCCTAAACCTGGTTCATGTGAATTTAGGAAGAAATTCAGATAATTTGGATTTGAATTAACGATGGAACTATCAATAACAACGCCAGATTCAACGTTGGCTATATTCGTAGGCGTCAACAGTCGAAAGAGGCGGGTATGGTGACGTTTTTTGACTACGATGAATGTTAGAATAGGAGAGGACGAATTTGTGGGATAGATAGCTAAAAAAAAGAACGATTGATAGAGTGTACATAAAGGTCAAAAAGTTAACTACGAATACTATACAAGAGAAACTAAAGTTTGACTGAGCTATAGGATTCCTCAAACTTGGAAAAGACCTTACCATTGAATCTCATCTATTTAGCTAGAAAAAAAGAATTGCTTCTTACCTTGAAAGGCTTTCCTCAAAGCGGCCACCTCGTCATCTTGTACACGTTCAAATTGTCCATCATCAACACCGTCGCGATAGAAAACGATATGTTCGGGCAATGAACCTTCGTTACTATTTTTGAATGCGATTAACAGTTCTTCGACCATTTCTTTCGATAACAAAATTGCTTCTTCTGATTGTTTTCCTTTACTTGGCTATTGACGAGAGACACGTTGATTTGTTAATGTACACTCAGAATTCATACTTGCAACAACAGCTGCAATCGATGGTAGTTCGCCAGAATAATTATTTTTCGTGTGTTGGACGTCAGCACCGATAAACATTGTTTTGATAGACGTTTGTAACTGAGCTACTTGTTTATTTTCTCCGCTTAGCTTAGTATTCACTGATTTTAAAAGGTTACTACAATAAGTTTTTAAATTTGATATTCGCTGAACTTTTGTAAAGTTAGCACATTGAGTAACAAGACCTGAAAAGAGAGAGAATCTATCATAATTTCATAGCTAATGATTAAAAACTGACTAACCAAACTCGTTGCATGCAATTTGTTTGAAGAGTTCATGTATTTTTGAATTTCGACAATTTTCAAGACATAGAATGAATTGACACTGCTTGTGTTTTAGCTTAGATAAAACACTTCGAACTTTGTCTTCTAAATTTCTGTCAGCAAAAATTTCATATTCGTTAGGATACTCAGGTAATGTCATTCTTTGTCGATTTGCAGCCTGTTAGACACAGTATGAAAAAGGGATCTGTGGAAGTAGGAATTGGAAACATGTAAGACTTACATCATAGAAGTTGTTCAATAGCTTTTCCTGTATTTGTCTCGCATTTGGTTGTTGACGTTCTGCCAGATATATAAATGCCATGTTATCAATCGAGACTGGATTAGTAAAAGCACCTTGTCGACCGAGAATAATTTGACGTTTGCTTAGAGTTTCATAAGGAATTCCCATCATCGTCTGACAATTAACTTCAAGTTGAATTTCTTTACATAATTCATCATCATGGAAATTGCAATATCTAATAGCTGTCAAAATTGAATGATATCGTTTATCGACTGTTGGTGCTGGAACAGGTTTTGTATTTTCATCTTCCTTCACCTGTTGCCACTCTCGAAGACAGCAAAGTTCAATCGGCAAATCAACTAAATTTTGTGGATTGCCCAATGGATAGGCTTTCACGCAGTATAACTGTGGATAACGAAGCTCGAATCCGAGATGCTTGTAGTAATTTAAGAGATTGCCTTGTTCTTTAATTGGAGTTTTTTCAGGAAGCTGATCCGAAAAATATCCTGTGAGAATATATATTTTTTCATAATTTGATTGAGCTGTTGTGACTTCAACATCTTTCAAGCGATTACCAATTTGATCATAATGTCGATCTAAGAGTGATCCACGAAAAGAAGATTCGTTTTTCAACAATCTTTCCAAAATAAATGCTAGAAGATCTAAGTGGGGATAGAATCGTGTAATCGTGGTATCCACATTCAAGGTCGGACCTGATTCTGTGAGACACATAGCCAGTTTGAATCCTGTAAGAAGATTATAGGGACCGTCTTGATCTGCTTCTTCATCCCATCGGTAGAAGACTGAACCAACGACTTTGAATTGTTGTTTTAGCACTTGTTTGATCAGTGTTTCAATAATTCGAATCGAAGATTGATCTAAATACTTTGTACCACTTGTCGTTGACGGACCGTTGATTGTTAAACGACGTTGATATCCATGTTCTTCTTTCTCATATATAATTGGTAATTTGTCCTTGAAATTTGTTGTACTGTACATGCAACTTCCTTCATCGTACCAACAGACAGCTGTTGCATGAATTGTTTTGGCGAAAAGAATATCAGAAACAAACTGACGACGTTTTTCACGACTGGAAACGTTAATGTATTTATTTTGCTTTTCATGGTATTCTTCAACGATGACGTCATACTGATAAAAAGTAAGATCAAGAGAAAATGAGCATGGAAAATGATTGGTGTAGATGACATCATCTGAGTCATCTTCAACTTGTTGTAATGCTGTTCCTGATGCCTGAACGGACTTTGGAGCTGTACTCTGCTTCTCGGGTGTAGTTAGTACTAATGCGGCAAGAGTATTTGTTTGTTCATCCATAGATTTCTAGAAAGAGAGATTGAGTTGCGCAATAACACTTTAAGATGTTGTTCATTCACTTACATGTATGCCTTCATATTTTTTAAATTGCTCTTTAGCTTTATCTTTTGTGACAGACATTATATCTTCAAAATCTATAAAAGAAACAATATGATTTAATTCAATCAAATTCTATTCAAACTTAAGCAAATATTACTGACTCACTTTTTTCTCCGTTCGTTCTGTTCTTTTTCTTTGTAAATCGTATTTTTGTAAGAATAAATTCAATGAAGAACTCTCTTTCTGTATACCTATTTATACTCTATGGATGAGTGATAGACATAATCTTTTTTCCCGGTAAGAATAATGTTCCACTGTGATTATTTGTTTTGTTTTTATCTTTTCATATATCGTAGTCAGAATTCGTAATCGTTGTGCAAGATAATGAGTAATGTTTTTCTCCAAGATAAGTGCATTACTATATGCATCTATACTTCACCTTATACCTGCCATGTCTTTTCCTTTTTCTGCATTCTTCTCATATAGCTTCATATTAAGATCTTTTGCGATTACAGTGATTGTAGAAATATTAGAGCATTTTCTAGTCCACAAACACACATATTTTCCACTAAACACAATGATCTTATTTTAAATGATATTCTTTTCTAAAAATATATACATTGATACACAACAAGGACAAGGACCAGTGTCGCTAATGTGAGTGTCTACCAAAGATGTTAGAAGAAAATCATGTTAAACATATTTTATTTCAATAAAAACAAAACATAAGTAAGAGCACTCGTTCGAAAAACAATTTCAAGACTTTCTTTTCCACCCATAACATTAATTTTATTTTTATTCAAGTCTTTTTGTTTCAATGATTTGGATTCAATCCAAACAAAACAGAAACAGAGGGTGTGGATGAGGACGTGAGCCATCGTTTAACAGATACCCACACCCATGCCGCACTTTGATGTGTTGTACATTGTGTCACCAAGTCACAGCACATGCAACATGCTTTACTTAAATGTGCACAGTGACAATATTGAAATGAACATATAGAAAATATTGATTCGTTCATCAAAAAAGTAAATAAAATATTGTCGAATCTAAGACAGAATCAGTAGCCTTCTTAGAATTTTATAGCAGACACCTTTCTTATTTAGTTATCACTTTGTGAAAAGGATCTGAGTGTGGATGGATGAGGGTTTGGGTGTACGTACATCGAACTGAAACAGAGCAGGCTATATATATCACATACAAATCAACTCGCCAGTCTCAACTCTTGCCTTTTAGGAATCGATCTAGTCGAGAATCAAATAATATACAAAGTTGTGCTTTGATTAAAGTAATTTTAAAGAAATGCAGAGTTAAGTTCGCTGACGCGTTTCGTGTTATTTATCATTAAAATATTGAGACACTCATCAGGGCTCTGCATTCACAGTTTTAAGCATAAAAGTAGGGATAAACGAATCATAAAATTAAATAAAGATAATAAACATGAAAGATAATATAATAGGGTGTAGGATTGTGGGTGTGGGCGTGGGCGTGGGCGTGGGGTGTGGACGTGGGTGTAAGTGTTCGTCTCCCCTTTACTCACACCCACACCCACACCCACACACCCACACCCTCACCCACACACCCACACCCCACCCTTACGACAATCACCAACATATTCAAACTTTATGTAGCATCCAATATTAACGAGCGTAGATCAAATAGAAAAAATTTTATTGAACGATTCAAATGCTATTCAAGCACTATACTTATCAGCATCACCTGAAGTCTATCGTTTTTTAATTTATGCCAGCGATTTATAGTTAGTTCTTTTATCGAAATCAAAACATACTGGTAGTGACAGATTGTTTGAAACAGTTGCATAATTCAACCAAAAGAATCATACAATAATGAGTGAATTTGAAGAAAAGAATACTGGTAAGAGCAAATTGTTATCTGGTCATCAGACAACATTTTCTAATTCTCACTGATCTCTTGCATAATTTATATCGAATACCATTAGTTTTATGTTTATAAAAATATAAAAATTATAAAACTTATAAACTAGTTATACAAGTATTAAAAGCGGCTTTTTTTAAAGCAACGAAACGGTGATATAGTGAGAATAACCAAATTATTCAATCTCTCTTAAAAGAATCAAGATGTGTTCTTATTAAAACTAGGACCAGATTTAATTTTCAATACACGATTGCAAAGAGTATTCCCTAAACTACAAAAATTAACAATGAAAGTGTTTTTTTTTATTGTATTCTAATATTAAAACATTAAAAGAAATTTAAAAAAAATGATGTTGCTTGCTGGCCAAATTGCAAGAACGCTTTTAAAGATCTTTAGTTTTTCTTCGTTCTCAAATTCATTCTGGAAAAATACGATTGATACAAACTTTGTAGTTGAGACATAGCTTTTTTCTAATATAAAAATTACTTTGTAAGATTTTCCAAAGCAGAGAACTACAACTGGAAATTTCGGTAATTACTTTTGCATCGAAGGTTAGAATAGTTATAATGTTAGAAAATTTAATGCAAAAGACTTGCCATTGACATCATCAAGATGTATAGCAAGAAAAGTTTGATAGGAACAGCAACATCAAACAAAAAGTAAACATTATGTCTATTTCTATGACTTTTTTTTGCATGTAAGTTTTGCTGCTTGTCAATGTTGAGTTGATTCTGTTTTTAGTAATCACAATATAAACACTACTATTTGCTAATCATTTTTTTCTTCTCTGTAACACCATTTAGATATTATATTTTTTAGTCAATTGTTCCTATTATTTTATCTTATTTTGAAAATGTTTGTTTGAGGAAAAACCAATTTAATTATTTAGCTATGTTACTGTGTTTTATCATAATTACTTTACTGATTTTGATGCATTTTGCAATTTTCAAAGACTGCTCTTTTCATATTAACAATGTTTTTCTTTTTGCTTTGTTTTCTAACTTGTTTGGTTGCCTTATAAGAGACAAATATTTAACACAATTTCATAATTAAATCTTTTCATCTGGTTATCATAACAATCCTCTAAATACCTCCAATACGTATGATCTAACAAACTTTTGTTTTAATTGGTACACTATAGTATGAGAGGTAGGATAATATTGAGTTAAGGTATAAATGATTTATCTTTTATTGAAAAATAATCCCTAAATAAATATACATAATTGGTTACTAAACTTGACCATAATTGTTTCGTTATGCATAAATATGGATATGATTTAGAGATTGATTCAGGAAATCAGAATTACTAATAAATGATAGTCATTTGTATGGTTGCGTGCTTGGATGCTACGCAGTAAAAGAATAAATGTAAGAATGAAATCAAAACCAAACAAATGAATTGAAAAAAGAAGTAATCGACAACAACATAGAAACAATTGAACAAGAACAAAGAGCGCCTATTGGTTCAAACATTCAGAAAATATTCGACAAGAACAAAGAGAGAGAGTGAAACACATTTGATTCGATCTCTTCTCGTTTTTGAAAGAGATTTCTACTCTTTAATTTTAAGATTAATTGAATATGAGTTCTAAATTGTAGTCCTATCAGAAGTTGAACTGATAAGCTTTTTTTTGAGGTGTTATCGTATTTATAGCATAGTTTTCAATCTATTCGATTTTTTTCAGAGTGTCTTTCAGGCCAGAGTAGTTGAGAGTTGTAAGGAAACAAGAAAAAGTTTGATAATTTTCTCAACGAATTCTAACATTTCAATAGAACGTCAATTCTCCTCACTTTAATAACCTATACAATCTAGCTACTCTTAGAATCTCATAATTGCAACAACAAATCAAGCAAAATTTGATGCATGTACATGCTCATTTGTTATAAAAATTTTTCATTTCTACTATTTCATGGGTAGTTGTCAATTTCAAGACAATCATGTGCGATGCTTGTTGTCAGCTATGAATGAATTACGCTGTTTTTCTCTTAAGTAAATGTATTTCTAGATGGTTGCTTCTGTATAACGAGTGAGCCTTCTCACCTGCAATATTTTTTTTTCTTGTGAAACTGCCAGTTTTATTTTTCACAATTGTTGTACAAAAACTTTCTCAACACTTTTTTATTTCACTTTGGATTATTAATTGAGCATTCTTATCTAGAATTTAGCTCAAAATGGAGCATTGCCGCTTATGGGTAAGTCAAATAAAAAATGCGATTATTCAATTAAACATCTTCCGTTCACCGTTGACTGTGGTGACTGAAAAACGAGAGATTGAAATACAATGCATCACCACTCGTGTTTACATCGTTCTATTCATCGTGATACTTTGCATATTTGCGATCTTCACATCACAGATACCTGTCACTCGAAGCATCGTTGTACAAAAACCTACATATGAAGAATACTCTCACTTGTATTATGTGTATGTTCGAACCCTTGTTTGTCCTTGTTCGATCAATGCGATAGAGTACAAAACATTTACCAATATAACCGTTTCTTTTCATCAAATTTGTCAAAGTGTCTTCAGAACATTGTCTTGGACTAATTTACTTGATATAGGATCAAATTTTATTGGGTCACCATTGTATTTTCGATATATTGGTGGTTCTCTATTTGGAGTACTTGATTCTCTCTGTGACTTGATCAATAAGATAATTAATGATGGTCTTATCGATTTCTTGGCTACTCGATACATTTCGGGAACAGTAACATCACGTAATATATTTGAAAATCAAATCGATGCGTTGATTCATATGTTTATTACGAGTACGACACAAACATTTAGTCAATCACTTGAATTAATTCGTGATTCCACTTATGTCAATGGACTTTCTTCAGGCCACTTGACCAATTTCTTTCCTTTAATTCTTCCCTCAACAAACAGTGAAAATATCACCCAATATGTCTATGCAGCAGGATCAATCATTTATGTACATGATATATATCATTGCTCATGTGGTGAAACTCCTTTATGCACAGTACCAATTTATGCCGATGAAAATGATTCATTCGTGGTACCGGGAATGCGCACTGGATGTTTCATCATTGAAGCTCTTTTACAATCGAATCTTATCTGTTTCTACAATCAATCATGTATTGAAACACTGAAACATATCATTAATCCTAGTATTGAACTGAATACAACAGCACTCGATAAATCTTTACCCAGTCTATTTGCGGTCGATGCAACACTTGGTAGTATTGTTGCTAAATTAATGGTTGAAGAATGGATTAATACAACATCACACAAGGCATACTATGATCGATGTCAACCAATCACATGTACTTATTCATATGTAGACAAAAACAGATGGTTTGTTGTGATCACCACTGTTATTGGATTGATTGGAGGTTTACAAATAATCCTGAGAATGATTTTACCTCTTCTCATTGAATGGATTCGATCACCTCGAAATGTGGATCAAGGTAAGCTAAATCAGAATCGTTGTTTACAGAAAACCTTGTATTTGGAATTACAAACTCGCATTCAGTAACCATATCAGCTTGCAGTTATGCGATAGGGAAAATGATGCACTTGAATCATTTTGTAAATTTGAATAGGTAGTTAGAAAAGCTATAGTCCAACTTTTTACATAACTGTCAGTTATGCTTTCTTACTTTTACTTCTTTACGAAACATGATGAATTATCATTGTCTTTCGATACTTATCTGAATACCAATGGATACTTTCATGATTATCCAAAACCATTCTATGTCTTACTGTTAATGTGTATTCACTTTCAACGGTCTTCTTCTTTTGAATGTGCTCGATTTATTGTTACAGTCGGAAAAACTAACCAGGAGAAAAATTATCAGCATTCGATGCTTTTTGTGTACTCAAAAAGTGAGTACACTATAGAATCGGCCAGTGTGTCCGGCCGTTTACACGATAACTTTCGAAAGGAGAGTCTGATCGTGATGAAATTTTCTACACAGTTTCGTCTCATCAATATCTAGGTCGAATTCGAAGATGAGAAAGATGCGTCGAGCCATTGCTGAGTTATCGGAAAAAGAGTCATTATTCCCTATGCTTTTCTATGCGAACATTGATCTATCCCGCTTTTCGTAAAAAGATTTTCCTCTCATAATCAAACAAAACCCCAACTATTATATACCATTCGATAGAGAATTTCAAGAGCTACAAAATGGTATATAAAACATTAAGAAACAAGAAGACTGAATCACCTATTGCAAAGATACTTAAACGGAAATTGGTTTTGTTTTTGTCCACGTTCCAATTGATCGAAAAGTAAAGCTCCATCTTCCGATCACAGAGATGATAGTTCGAGGTTTTCTAGGGCGAAGAACTCGAAGCTAAGCTCCACTTGCCTCGAAATCCTATTGGTTGAGCAGTAACCAATAGAAATCAAGTTTTAATAGAAGGGGCTCGCTAGGATAATTTTGATGCCTACACGTGCTAGCATGACTCATCTGTCCAGTTCACTTTTTGAAGTACACATAACACTCGGATTTAAATCCAATGTTTTCGCATTTATTGATTATATTAACAAATAGTATTTTAGCAACTTAAACACAAATGTAGTATAGTGTTTGTCACTATGGAATGAAGAAGTTATAATGATAAAGATAAAAGGTGAGCAAGAAGTGAACCAAAAGACAAAAGATAAGAATGAAATAATGAAATGGAGGAGTAATAAACGCAGAATGAAAGAAATGTGAGAAGGTTACATCATAGTAATTCAAGCCATGGCAGAAGAAGAGAATAATACCTTATACATAAATCTTTCACCCATTTCAGACAGATAAAGTAATCCAAATAGTCATTTTTTATTCTTCTGAAAGGAAACCCAATGCAACGAACTATTGAAGAAGAGATGGAACAGACTCAGACCTATCTTTTCAATCCAAGTCAGTGTTTGCATGGTATATCGTTTTTCGTAGGCTCTAATAGATAATTCTTTCGCGGTTAAAAAAAGTTCCTTTGCTAGAGCAAAGAGACAGCTATATAAAGATCTAAGTTAAGTCACATATTTTCTCTGCAACGATTCTTTCTCTGGATTTGTTATGAAAGGATAGAGTGGAGAGTTTCAGACAAAGCAAGTGAAACTATAAGCCAAAAAGCATTTTCACACGACCACTTGTGAGAGAGCTCTCTCACGTTTCATCCCTCTGAGCTTACTATATATTCTTTGAATATGTGTGTTATCAAGAGTCGATTTCCAAGAGATTCTACTTGTTCATGTAAATGCTAAGTATTTGTATTTCTCAACTCCTTCTAACTTTTAACCTTCCATGTAGACATTTATTATTGGTTTTATCGTTTGGAAATTTAAAAAAAAAGTTGCGCAACCGTTTTGACAAAGTTGATGCCTTGTTTCTATTTTTTTCAAGTAGGCTATTATGCTGTTGCAGACCTTTGTCCTTTCCTTTTCTAAGTATTTCACCATCGGTTCAAAATCTTTATACACTTACCATGATAGTCAATAAATGAATAAGGACTCAGGCTGCTATCTTGTGACAAATCGATGTAGATATAAAAAATACCCGATTTAGTCTCTTCAAATACTACATAGGTACGGCGATTGTTAAAACAAGAAACAATTTACTTTAATAGTTCAAGTGACATTTCTACTCTAAACATCTGAACGATCAAACTCATTTGCCACACTTTATCTTATGCATTTTGACAATCAACATCTAATGCTATAGTTAGTGTGTCAACACTCATGTTGTCTTTCACTTCTTGATAGATTGTTAGTATTCTAGTGAGTAACAGATATTTGAGTCAAAAGTCCAATTACTCGATGGCCCGTGTCGTACTTTTGCTAACGTTATTTTCTCTAACAACTTCGAATGTATTACCAGAAGAGAGATGGGACATGTTCGATTTCAGCAAGGTACTCCTGCCTTCAACTTGTTCGGTGTAGTTATTTTAGCTGATTCTCATTCACCGAAATACCTGCACTCGCTCGACCAAACATTGAAGCATTTTGCTACATAATCTATATGACTGGGTGGAATTCGTTTGATCATCAAATTTGACACTAAGCCATAGCTGGACGACGTCTTTGGTTTCAGATGAGTTATTTTCAAATCGGTGACTTTTGTTATATAGATATTCTCTAACCGAAACTTTTCAGACTCACACATTTGAACTGCCCTGCTGTTGATGAGTTTTTTTTTTTATTAGAACTAAGACTCAATCGTCTACAATAGATATATCGAAAAGACTATTGTAGGTGGATGAACGGACTTTTTCATAATCGATCCACCCACATTCCACACTCATGCGATTATTACTAACACTAAAGAAAATTTTTATTATTGTAAGAATACAGATCTTATATGTTTTTTTTTAGCAAGTAAATATATTCTTTCGTTATCATAGAGATATCGTTGATTAATCGTTTTCGAAATGCATTGAAAAAAATGAAAACAAAGCTTATTACCATGAATCTTTTTGTTTCCAATGAACCAGATCCTGTTGCTAACGCGGAATTCGAACTGAAGACACAACTGATATCGACTCGTGTTTATATTGTGATTCTAATTGTGTCGCTTGTGGTTCTTTTCATTTGCAGATGGCAAGTACCGATAGCAAAATCTTTCACCATTGAATCACCATCATATGCAATATATGCTATTTTATACAAAAACTATCCAAAATCACTTTCATGTCCTTGTACAAACATCGCCATTCGACATGATCAATTTCTTCGTGTTGATGTTCGATTTCATCAAATATGTTCAAGTGTATTCATTTCCGATGCATATTCTAAACTTCTTCTGAACTCTCGAATACCGAGTGCTATTGCTACTGGTCAAGTTCATATGCAACTTCTAGCTTCTTGGTGTCGTCTAGCCAATAAAAGCATTATCAATGATGGCAATGCATTCAATGCTGCTGTGTTCATTTCTCATGAAGTTCTTCCTTTTGAACTTTTCGAGAAACAAATTCAAGCATTAGTACAATTATTTACTTCATCCATAACGAGTAATTTTGTTCGTCTATTAGATATCAACAGAGAAATAAAGTCGAACAATCTAATTGACAGTGGTTTTCAAACTGTTGCGTGGCAAGGTATTATCGGCATTTTCCCTCACATCACTTTGATAGGTACCTATAGAATGTTCAACAACGGTACATGTACGTGTTTACTCTCACCCAGTTGTACTGAACCACTCAATTTATATGATTGGTCTGTACAGTCATTAGTATACACAGTAGCCGGGCTTCGAACTGGTTGTTACGTTGAAGAAGCAACACTTCAGTCGACTCTTGAGTGCTACTACAATCAGAGCTGTCTAGATACTTTTCATGCTATGATTGGTATCGATCAATTATTTCAGGCAGCCGCTCTCAATTCAACTTCAACATCGAGTAGATTTACTGCTAGTTCACCTATAAGTGATCTAGTTGCAGTTAAGATGGTCGAAAACTGGACAAGTACATCAAATCATGTAGCATTCTATGACAGTTGCAAACCTATCAAGTGTGTATATTCTTACAGAAGCAATGATGAATTCTTGCATGCCATTATTACCATTTTTGGATTGATTGCTGGTCTAACGATGGTTTACAACGTTCTGGTTCCTGTCATTGTCAAATTTCTGCTGTACAGAATTTATCAAACTTCAACAGCCATGCAAAGTAAGTTTCTTTGTTTTTGAAAATATTAGTCATTAGAATAAAAGCAACATTTCATGTCGAGATTTAGTGGACAAAGTATGCCTTACAGAATGAGAAGTTTGCATTTTAGAAAACTGGCATGACTGGAAAAAAAAAGAAAAGGCCAACCTTCTAGAAACTTTATTTGTGTAATTAATAGATGACTAAAACAAATTTTCGGTCTCCGACACTCCCGAAGTCATATTCACTGCATTGAAGAAATTTATCTTCTCGTGTTTTTAGAGTTGTCATTCGTTGAGAAGTTTCATCAATTATGGAATAAAATCAAGAAAGCAATTGTCGATTTGAATTTGTTCTACACACCACCAGCATCCATCATCGAAGCTGCATACAAACGAAAAGTACAGATTATGTCAACACGTGTCTTTATCATTCTTCTTCTTACTTCCCTTGTTATACTAACCATTTATGAATCTCAAGTACCTGCCACACAAATAATTACTATTCAAATGCCCTCATACAATCAGTATACAGTTATCTTTAATAGATATTCTCAAACGCTCTCCTGTCCTTGTACGACTATCTCCATTCCATATAATCAATTCATTGAGTTGAAAGTCGTTCGTTTCCATCAAATATGTCAAAGCATCTATGTAACAGAGAGTTGGTTAGAGTTGATGTCTAATTCGTTCAAAGGAGATATTTTGATTCAAGACTTTCGTATCGTTGGTCCAACTTTCTTTCGTGCATTGAGTTCGCTTTGCAATATGACACGAAGAGCTATCGATGATGAATTGATCGTATTTAATGCCAAACGTTTTGTGACAAGTCATGTCATGGATATTGATCTCTTTCAAGTAGAATCTCAATCATTCATTGAATCATTTATCTCATCTATCACAAATACATTTACACGTTCGTTTAAACTTGTACAGGATACCACTCAAGGTAATGCTCTTCTGTCAATGGCATCAGGTAATATTGTATACACTGCTGTGCCTCAGAATGATAGCATTGTTGTCATAACATACTATCCCACTCGGATCATCAATGAATCGTTGAATTGTACTTGTCAGCAAAGAAGAACCTGTATTAATAAAGCGGGTTTCTACTCGAGAAATCCAAACGATTCTCAAAGTTTTCGACGATTTCCTATACAAGGCTTGTTTATCAGCTGTTATATTGTGGAATCTCTTTTGCAATCCAGTCTTATCTGCTTTTATAATCAATCCTGTATTGATACATTTAAGAACATGATGAATTCTTCTATTGAACTCAATACAAGTGCGCTTGATCAAAGTTTACCTAGTTGGTTTGCACCAGATTCAAAAATTGGTAGTATTGTGGATCGATTAATGGTTGAAGAATGGATGAATATAACATCACACAAGGCGTATTATGATCGATGTCAACCAATCACATGTACTTATTCATATGTAGACAAAAATATATGGTTTGTTGTCATTAGCACTGCTATTGGATTGATTCGAGGTCTAACAATTATTTTGAAATTTGTTGTACTTCTTGTTGTTAAATCCTTCTTCTATTTCTGTTATAATAGAGTTCAACCATTGTCAAATTAATAGAAAGACATGAAACTCAAACTAATAATTTCAAATTTACATGTCGTTTACTTCGTTGTCGTTGTTTCTGTTCAATGTTGTACAATCGCTTTTCAAATATATTCAAGTCAAGATTTCATTTGACACATTCTAAACACGTATTCAACTTGAAAACAATGGTGTTACTTTTCGGCATGAATGCTTTCATTGTCAACATCAGTTGACCAATGTCCAAACTTTTGAGCATTGGAAACAGTTATATTTCCAACAATATTCTGATTTTAGAGATAGGATGAACAAAAACTCGAACAAATTGGAAAGATATATAATCAAATGAAGACTAAGGACAATGTTAATGATGTTTTGCAAATTTATTCATTTCATTTGTAAGATCAATACAAATGTATGACAGTTTTTAATATTTACTGACAGAAGCTGAAATCTACAATGTAGATCTATCTGACTATTCCTATCTGGGTCTTTTTTTTTAATACAACCATCCAACAATATATGAGACATACCAAACGTTTTTTCACTAGTCCTTCAAATCAGGTCGCTAGATCTTCCGAAGCGACAGGAAAGTTGTCGAATTTTTACTTTTTTTCTGGACAACTTTCGACTTTTTGAGGGTGGATGGGGGTTCGAGTCTGCTTTTCATTCACATCGTCACCCACACCCACCCTTAGAATTTCATCCAGTTAATAATGAATGATCATCGGATAAGATAAACTTCGAAAAGACAATTAGTATTAATTTCGAAAATTTGTCGTTTTTGACTACTGACAATTATAAATGACGAACGAAGTGCACATATTTCAATGAAATCATATTGAAATTAATTTTACTAAAGCAATACGTCTCTATCTGCCATCTAGATTGTCTAAAATTATTCTTTTTCAAAACCTGCTCGACTCTACTATTAACTTCTTCTTATTCGTTTTATCAGCTTCAAAACAAACCAAAAAACGTGCAACAATGCACAGAACTTTATTATGTTTTTAATGATCTTTATCCACTTATTAAATATCTATCTCTATCATTAAAAAAAATACAGGTGAAATATGCACTCAACATAGAAAAAACAGACTATTTACTGATCATTGAGACCTAACCAATAAAATTTTTTTGGTTTGATCAATATTCGTGATGATGCAATAAACATCTATTTCAGATGTCTCTTCGACCAACTTTAGAATCAAATACTGTTCTACATTTTACACTATGCTGTTATTCTAGTTCAAAACATATAGTCGGTACTCGTCGTGAAAATCAGTCTTCATGAGAATGTTGTTATTCCTTAGCACCTGAACATGTTCGAACACTTATACAAGCATAAAATCGTCGTGCTTTTCCAATTTTATCATATACTCAAGCAGGTACTATTGTTCAAGAAGATTTAAGTGAAGCATCAGTTATAGTTGATGTTAAACAAGTTCCTATTGATCTATTAATAACAAATATAACTTATGTCATATTTTCATATACACATAAATATCAATAACCGTTTATGGTAAGTACAAATAAAAAAATTCGAAGAAAAATCTTTATATTTAGCATATTCGTCTAGCACAAAATGATCGAAATAATGAACAAGCTCGAACGACTATTCGAGATAAGAGATATGAAACTGCATTAAGTCTTATGCCGAAATCTATTGGATCATTGATTGTTCTTTTTTACTTGATCAGAAAATATTTTTCAAGTAAAGACGAAATTTTCAACTATATATTAACATGTGAACTTTAGGCTGTTCAAGAAATCTTTTTATGCCGGTTAAGAAAATAATTCCTTTATTATTTTATTTAACGCGATTAATAAAATCTATCGATGTGTTATTAATCGTAAAGATCATTTAATTAAGAACGAAACAGAAGCATACAATAAACAAAAATTTCTTAAATTTAGTAAATAGAAATTTTATTCATCCAGAATATTACATCAAAGAGTAAAAAATATCTACATTGAATATAAAATTTACTGTTAAATGTATTTATAATTTTTATCTACTTGATTGTCTTATTCATCATACACTTTTAAATATATAAATTCTCTATAGATTGCTCCATATACTTCATGTATAATCAATAGAATTTATTGGAAACCATTTCAACCAAAATGAGTTTATATTGATAATGCAAATCAGTTATGAGTTCCATCACCAGAATGGACACAAAATGGTCCAAGATCTAATTGTCCATCATTACCTCATCGACTTATAGTTGTCTATGATATAACAACTGATAAATGTTGTAGTATGGATTATCCGTTTTTATTACATAATCCTAAAACAAATGCATCTGCACAGAGATGATTAATAAACCAAGCAAAAAAAAATCTTTAGTTTTGATGGTCCTGATATATTAGTTTGTTCAATTAATAATATGTCAACAGAATTACCATTAGAATCAACTGTTTATTTTGATTCAAACCTTTGAGATGTAAGTCAAATAGGAATGTTATTATTATGGTCGTTCAGAATTCATCATCACAGATTGAACAGACTCATCTCAAAAACCGCAACCAATAGATTCATGCCAATTGAGGGTGTGGGTGTAGAATTTCTCTTTTCCCCCACACTCACCCACACCCACATCCTTCTATTGTATTTCATAAATATATATATATTACTACTATTGAATGAGACTGATTTGATATATCCTATATTCCAGTGATTGTTTTCTCAAAACAAATTTCCATAGATCTACAAACATAAATAATAAAACGATTTTATTTGAATAATTGAACATTTATTTAACGGATTATCTTTCAAATTTGTTAAGTCGGATTCATTTTAAAAGTAGAAAAAAAATCACCATTTGAAGATATTTATTGTCAGATATTCTCTTTTGCTTATAATATCAAATATATATATATATATCTTAATTTGAATATAAAAGAGGAAAATTGATAATATTATATTTAAAAGACGTCAATTATTTCGAACATACGAAGAGGACAATAAACATATTCACCCGATGACAATTGACCCCATGTATCGTTATCAGAACAATAACTAGATAAATATATTATTTTATCTTGAATATTTATTCATCTATGTCATTTTACCTTTGTCCATCTATTTAACAAAACAAATAATTAATTTAATCAAATATTTAATTATTTAACCTTGACATCGAACAGATTTTATTCGAATTCGACGAGAATATAATGAATATTTCTACTAAATATTTAAATCAATTTAAATATGAAAAAATTAATTTTAATAACAATATGAATATTACAAAATGTATATATCCATTTGAATATTGATTAACAATTTCAATCAATAATAGATATATAAAAAAAGACATTTGTATATATATCCTAAAATAAAATAAAGATAATAAATAATAATATTTATTTTAAATATATCTATTATCGAACGTTAAAAGATAAATAAAGTTGTTTACTTAATTTATTTGATTATATAATAACTAATCAAGATTCGTCTGTGTATTTCTTATAATTAAAGTAAAAAAGAAACTGATCGATCGATTGTTAGTTGATATGACCAGTGAAAGATAGATGAGGAAAGAGACCGCTTATATCTATCTATCAAATTTCAACATATAACAACATTCAAATATCTTTATTATCTTTCAATTTCTATTGTAATCTTTATTATTTTAAAATACAAAAGAATCTATCAGTTTAAATCAGTTCATTTTCAAACATATTTTTTTTAATGTTTTTTCTTTCTTTATATCTCTCTCTCTTGTATATGATGTTTGATGAGCAAAAATTAAAAAAAAATGATTTATTTGCATTGGTAGACGAAAGAGACAAAGTTGAATTTGATTTGTTTTCTTGTAATAAAGAAAAAATGTCTAAGTTAGTATTAATATTATTGCTGATTATACTATTAATAGATAATGTTAATTGTTATGGTTGTGATTGTTCATGTTGTACAGGTTGTGGTTGTTCATTAGTTTATCAAGGAACAATATCAGTATCAACATGTGCTTCAACAATATGTACAGATGCTTGTAAATCAAAATATAGTACATGTTTATTGGGATCATCAAGTGCTGTTTGTTCCGCTAGAAGCTTTTTTCAATTTTATTCGATTTTATTTTTAATTATTTCAACAATTATATTAATTTTATCAATCGATTTTATTTTAATAAATGTTTAATATTTATCATTATTCGACTGAAAATTATTTCTATTCGTATTTTTTCGGTTTTTTTAACGAGAATTTAATTATTTAAGGTTTTTAATGATTTGTATGAGTCTTATAAAGTTATTATTATTATTATTATTTTTGTCTTCAAAATTTTTTTCAAAAACTTCAATTACAAATTTTTTTTAAACAAAAAAGAATAAATTATTTTATTGAGATATAAGTCAAGATAAATATCAGCTATAAATTAATTAAATAATCTCATCTTGATAATGATTATTTAAAAATAATTTCTATTTATTTAAATAAATGAGAAATAATTTGTTTTAAAATCTTAAATAAATTTATAAATAAATATCTTTATCGATTATTAATTATTTAACAATAAATAATTAAAGAATTTCAAATAAATAATAGGAATAATATTTACTATTGTATTAAATATTTATTTATATAAATAATCATTCGATTTATTGATATATATTATTTAACTAGACCAATTTTAAATTAAAAATAAATAACTTTATTTTACACTAAATTCAATATTGAATAATAAATTCAATTTTTTGTTTCCTTCAATAACTAATAAAACGTTATTTAGCTAATGATCGATATATTATTATTAAAATAAATTTTTCAAAGAAGAAATCTTCTTTAATCAATAAATTATTTTAAAATAAACATTCGAATATTCTATTAAAATTAGCAGTATTCAGATTTCTAAAACAAAAAGAAATTACTCAGATAAATCATCCAATTTCAGTAACTATTACACATTGAATAAGAGATTACTGAAAAATTTCTAATATGTAATCAATAACTTCCATTCAATAAATTACACTGAAACAATAGATACATTTCAAAATAAAATAAAAAGGATATGCTTACTAAACTTCAGTCCATTGTTCCTTAGGGATCATTTTCAAAAGAGACACAATTTTTCTATAGATAAAATAGATAAAAAGAGTAAACAGATCTACTATAGACTGCTTACTATGACTAGGGGTGGCACTTTACCTTTAGTTTAAAAAGGGTGGGTGTTGGTGTGGTGGTGGGTGGGTGTAGGTGTGGGTGAGGTGCGGGTGTGAGTACAGATCTTCAATTCACTCACACCCGCACCTCACCCACACACCCACACCCACATCCACACCCATACCTCACACCCACACCCCTGGTTTCCTTGTAAGAGAGATGCTTGCGTCATGTCAATTTTTTTTCTACTGTTGAAATTATTGTAAATATGAAATAATGAAAGGATATGATTTCGTTATTCGATCCGAGACAATCTAATTCAGAGAAGAGTTTGAATTGATAGAATACTATATAAGCAAACGAAGAACAGACCAAATTGTAGATGATAGTATAGAGATTAAATAGGAAAGTTAATTTTTTGCTTTTTGAAAACTATTTAAACATACTTTTCTCTCTATCTCTTCTTGAAAGGAATAGAAAAAGAACTACTCATTAATATATTGTACTTAAATATTATGTTCCTCTGATTTTTCTTAGTTTTTATATGTACGTTAAAGTTATTTTAGAACAGCAAAATTGATCTGACACTTTTGTTTTCCATATTATTTTATTCCTGTAAGAAATATAAATTTTTTTTATTTTGTTCAAAAAAAATCAATAACAAACGTCGAGAGACAATTGAAATGTGTGCACTCATTCAATGGTTTTCTGTTACTTACTACGCAGTATATTTTTCATTTGTTAAGATTACAGTTTGCTCACTATAGTGTCATTGTTAAGTACAAACTAATGAATCATATAATATTATTACGCATAAAACTATTGGACCGTTAAGTAATTTTTGTCTAGTCAAAACAAGTTAATTACATTAGCAATAGTTGAACTGATAATCTAGTATAGAGTAACAATACTTGACATCAGGGTTGCCAGATCGAAAACTCAACAATCAGAATTTTTTTTTCAAAATCAAAAAACCATCAGAATTTTTTTTTCAAAATCAAAAAACCATCAGAATTTTTTTTTGCAAAATCAGAATTTAATCAGAAAAGTCAGTTTTTGAAAAACCTAGTGGTTATTATGGTATCATGTTGGTACAAGATGCTCTATTGAATCGCTGTTCATTAATTCATACTTTATTTTCAAAGATATTTCGTTATAAAAAGCATAATACAATGAATTTACTGTTTAGCTAACAAGGAAAAACTAATGAAGACGCGTAGTGTCGAACTCTTTCGCTAAACTCAAAATTCGTTCACAAAAAAAGTACAAAAACAAATCACTTATATACGATATAAGTTATAAGATCCTATGAAAGAAAAAACTGATGATTATATAACATAGATTCGATATTATTGTTCATATTTTCCAGTTTTTCGAATTTGCTTTAACAAATGTGTTTGAGTTACAAAAAAAGTTTATAAAATTGTTCACACGAATAATTATAATACGATTCAATTTCGCTAAAAAAGCTGTGATATGATTTAGAAAAGTTCAGAATTCAGGAGAAAAGCAGGGAAAATTATCAAAAACAGGAAAAATCAGACGAGATTGCTAAAATCAGAAAAAATCAGACTGTCAGAAGGAAATTAGAAAGGCATCCAAATTTCAGTCACTGTCCTGACTTTTCAGACAATCTGGCAACCCTGCTTGACATTCATATTTTCAAGATAAATGTACTTAAAATTGTCTGTTCGTGCTAATAAAAATTTACTAAATCTTAAATATCTTTTGGATAGGGACTTAGAAGAGGAGAAAATTTTCGACTTTTTTGTTACTTAATAGTGTAGATTTCGGTGCACGAACAATTTATTACTTGGAGAGACATTCTTTCATTATTTAGTCAAAAGATCTGTAATGAAAAAGTTTTAATTGATACCATTGCAATTCACTTCTCTACTTTTATGATATTCATTTATTAAAACTGATATTGATTCTATATAAAGTCTATTTACAATAAATTATTATAAAGATATCAAAATCGTACAATCAAACAACACTTGGAAGTTGATGTAGCGACATCTTTGTTTACGTTACTCATCCTTATAATGTCTCATATTATTATAAAACTTATGGTTTACTACTTTACTAAACAGGTTCATATTTGAGAAGTCTAAAAATAATTTGTTCCTGAAAAGACAAATCAGATAGTTCATCTTATTCATTATGCTTTATTTTATGTTACCATGCCATGTATTATTGATATAGTGGAGACCTGCCTCTACCTTTTCCACAAGAAAGAAAAAAAAATGATTCCTGCATAGAAACCAAAAAAAAAGAAAATATCGTTCATATTCTGCCTTTACTTTATACAAACCACCACCTTATGATTTCTTTTTTTACATACACCAGAAGAAACTGAAAGAAGGAAAAACTAGAGCGATGAAGTTCGAATTGTTACCCAACGAGATTTTACTCGATCTATTAGATTATTTTAATGGTGTTGATCTTCTTCGAGGATTCTATTGTCTTAATACTCGTTTTAATTTTCTTCTCTACAATCAATTTCGAAATTATCGTTTTAAATTTGATTTTGTGTCGAAACATAATTTCGATATGATATGTCAACAACATTTACCATTTATTACTAATCGAGTTATTGCTGTTAGTCTTACGGATGATGATAATACTCCAGAACAAATCAATTTGTTTCTTTCATATATAAAATCATTTAATGAATTCATTCAATTACGATCACTTTCATTATACTATATTCGTTCATATGAAACACTAATGAAAATTTTAGATCAATGTTATCATCTTTGTTATCACACTCATTTAAACATTTCTGATTGTTATTTTCGAGTTAATCAAATGAATTTTCAATTACTTGTCAATAGCATTTGGAGTCTACCTAAACTTATTCATTGTGATTTTGCAGTTGAGACAGAAGAGCAAAAGCTTTTTTTTACACCGACAAAATTCTCTTTATCTCTTCAAAATATATCTATCGGTATAAACGAACTTAAATTAAATCAAATAAATCAATTATGTAAATCTACGCCTCGTCTTAAGCATCTTCATGTATCTCTTGATTCTTCTAGCTATAGTGATTATAAACCATTTATTCTTTCAACATTAATTCATTTGGAAGTATCTATGTTTAATGTTGTTGAAAGCTTACTAATAAAACTTTTTCAAAGTACGCCTAATTTATGTCGTTTAAGTGTCGATTTATTGTCTAACTTAATTGATGGTCATCGATGGGAACAAATTATTCGTAATCATTTGCTCAAACTTCGTGTATTTCGACTTAAAATGCAACAGACACGTATTTTTCTATCAAAATATAGAAGAACACGCTAATAAATTACTTAAGTCATTTCGAAATTCATTTTGGATTGATGAACATCAATGGTTTGCTCGATGTCTTATACAAAACAGTACAATTGTTTTCTATATTTTATCCAAACCATTTCATTACTGCGAGGATGAGCTTCCTCGTTCATTAATATCCACTCTTCCACACGATGATCATCAGAATTTTTATAATAACATAACTAACATCTATAATACGACATTTTTTGACCAATCGATATTATCTCATATTCGTTTGACTAACATTAGTTATCTTTGTATAAAACTACCCATTAACGATCAATTTTGGTCCGTTGTTCCAACTTTGAATCGACTGAGGTCACTAGCAGTATCATCACATGTTGATACTTGTCATTCTCAATTACAAGATTTACTTGATCGTGCACCTAATGTTCATTATTTATGTATCCATCACGATGCATCATTACCTATACAAATGTCATTATTCAAATATTCAAATACATCAGTTCGTCAACTTAATTTAACAGACTACAGTCGTTATTTCAATGAAGAAGAATGTATTAAATTAAGTCGTTCACCATTAGGTATTCAATGTGAAGTTCTTTCTATTATGGTTACTCATCGTGAAAGTATTATTTATATGATCAAATATATGATCAATCTTCGGTCATTACAAATTCAATGTGAAGATGAAAAGAATTGTGAAGACTTAGCAGAGATAGAGAAGAATAATGGATCTTGTGATAAAAAATTGGAAAACAAAGATGAACTTATTGAATGGTTAAAAGATCGTTTGTCAATAACATGTTTGATCAAAAGAAATGCAGATTGGACTAACATTATTCTGATATGGATTTGATGAAAACAAGCAAATATACAAATATTGATTAGTGATGAATAGATGTTATCTTGAATAATTTTATTGAAACGAAATCATACTTGAAATTAATCTAACTTTATTAATCCGATCTGATTTAGTATAAAAAAAGATTTTAAGAAAGGGTCCACCAGGCCATCACTCTGTCACTCTTTGTTAAGGATTCTGCTAATATATGTTGATACATCGTATATGAGCATTTGCCCTATGAACTAGGTGATATCATTTCTTGGTATTATCCCTATAAGTGGGTCATTTCATGTCTTGGTTTTTTCATTTATGTTTTCACATACTACATTGGATTTTTCCTTTCCAATTATACACGTTTATATATATATGCACACATATATGCATTCGTTCGTTCCTGTCCTCTTGTGTCATCCTTTTCGTTTTCTTCTCTTCTTCTCCTTCTCTCTTGTTCTTCGTGCTGCTTATCTATCTGACTTCTCATCGAATAAGAGAAATTCATGTTCACCCAAAACCACTCAAACTACACTCTTGATAATTTCAAATATCGATTTTCTATCTTCATTCGATAGATCGTGATCTGAAAAGTTGATGGTAAAAATATGAGTGCTTCTGCTTGAGTTTGTGAAGATTTATGGCCAAACACTGACAAGGTCTCTAACAAGACTCTTGTTTTCTTTTTCTAAAGTTCCATGGTCTCGATATTTTTGACTTTTCTCAATATCAGTTCATCCGTTCGAGGTGCAGTTTGTTTTAAAAGATAGCGAAAAAATAATTCTCCATAAGAATGCTTAGAAGAAATAATTCTTTCACTCACCTTCAGTCTTCTAAAAATTTTACCAAAGGGGAAACAGCGGACTTCAGGACTTCAAAAGACTTCATGGACTTCACCGGACTTCAACCATAGAGACTTCAAATTTTCACAAGACTTCAAAAGACTCCGAAAGATTTCAAAAGATTTCAGCGAACTTCACGGAACTTCCAAAGACTTCACGAACTTCATCGGATTTCATCAGACTTCTTAAGACTTCACAACCCAGGTAAGAGTGGGAAGTTGCCGTTTCCAGACCGTTATCCGGTAACGGTAACGATAGCGGACGCTAACGAAAAAGTTACCAGTTACTCGAGAACTGATAACTACCCCGTTACCAGTTCCCGAGAAACCGGGGTAACGGTTCTACTATTGGGGGCAGCGGAGAAACAGCAAACACTTTAGTCGTGCAGCTCCTTAAGTCTTGAAAATCTTTCGAAGTCTTCTGAATTCTAATAAAGTTTCTTGAAGGCTCACAAAGTCTTCTGAAAACTCATAAAGTCTTATGAAGTCTCACGAATTCTTCTGAAAGTTTTAAAATACATTTAGTGCATGAAATTCATAAGAAACCGATGAAATTGTCTTGTTTTAGATGTGAGTGTGGGTGGGTATGGGTGGGTGTGGTGGTGGTGTGGGTGGGTTAGGGTGCGGGTATTCTCTATATATCCACACCCACACTCACATCCACCCACACCCACACTATTTAAACGGCGAGGAAAAGTAATGATAGCATGATCAAGTATAATAACAGATTATACAAACACGGGTATGAATTTCACATCTCCAACGTGAGAAAGAATCTAACATACCATTTCAAAAAAAATCCCGCAAAACTTATTTTTCTCAGGTTGTATTTCGTCAAATCAATTGCTTCTCCATTACTAACAGAAGTTTCAACTTTTAAATTGAATTGAGTTTACAGATTTTGAAAACTTCTTCGAGTTAACGAAAAATCTATTCGAATCATAAGTTGAATCGTAATCTTTCTCCACTGATTTCCTCAGCTGTGATACAAAACACAACGTCGAAAGAGGTTAAAGCAACAAGGTGCTAGCATATTGCACGAACATATATTAATATTTCTTTTGCCGATAAAGCACTTCTCATACCGACTTCAACAATATTACTTGAGTGAAAACACTTCCATGTTCCATAGAGATCCATAGCCATTCATTTCGAAAATGAATGCATCTTCACTGTATCCTTTCAACTATGAATCAAGAGAAAAAAGAGATTTATTTTACAACATAACGAACTTTTCGCACTTTCGGGTGTGGGTGAACTTGTGACTGTGGCTGTGGGTGAGTGCGAATTTAGAATTACTATAAATCTCACACCCACCCACACCCATACCCTTCTGAAGAGTGCATTATTCTTTCACCTTTGTATAAAGTGCAGCACGTGACATTTTATCACACCTTGCAGAATAGCGTTAGTAGTGTTGATATTCGCTCTTATCTCCACCAAGATATTTCGCTCTCAAGTAATATCATTGTATCTTTCCCTTAAAATGTCAGGTTTGTAAATATCCACAATCAACATTGCGAACAACCGAGCAAAGAAAAACAGAAATGTTTATTATTCGGCTTTTGCAGGTCATCATTTCTTATACTTATTGTATAGATATCTGCAGTAGTCTAGAGTATGATTTTATTGTCGTTGGAGTAGGATCTGGAGGATCAATTATGGCGGCAAGATTAAGTGAACCAGATAATAACTGGAGTGTGCTAGCGTTAGATCGTGGAAGTGCAAGCGATTCAACACCACAATATGAAGTGGACGGCGATCTTAGTGGTGTATATGATCCAAATTATTTCTCGGTGCCACAAGATTATCTGCTGGGACGTCTAGTACGAAATCCCCGATATTATGGTATTGGTGGAACAGCCATGATCAATGGGATGACCGCGATTGCGCCTTCTCGACATTTGCTAGATCAACTATGGCCAAATGGATGGAAATGGGATGATCTGTTCCCTTATATGGTAAAGATGTAAAATCATTATTGTTACTATCTCCCATCATCATTAACTGGAATATCCGATTCAGATTGTCGATTGTGGCACGGTCAAGATGGTCCACTCAATATAGCTCCACCATTATTTGGGAACATGTCTGATTTATTGATTGAGATGATGAACGAATGTGAGCAAGATGTTGGATTCATGACTGATTATGATAATCCTACTAAGCAATATGGTTGCTATTTTCAGCAACAGTTTCGTAAACCATTGAATAAAACGGATCCGAATTCTTCAAGTATACGAGCAAGTACATGGGAAGCTTATTTGAAAGGAATTAATCGTACTAATCTTCAAATATTGGATTCAGCAACTGTTTTAAAACTTGTCTTCGATGGTAATGAACCTACAAAATGTATCGGCGTAGTGTATGAATATAAAGGACAAGTGTACACAGCTACAGCAAGGAAAGAAGTTATTCTATCTGCTGGTGTTTTTGATACACC